CCAGGATCAAAATACAAACGTGCGATTGTCATTTACGGATATTGTGGATCATATTCAACCTATTTTTGAACACGACGGGAATATTTCAAATTTCGTTGAAGTATCCCTTTAAGTAAATTTCGGTCATGAACTGTATTTCAGCGAAATACGGCACTTCCGCTCTTGTTGTGACATTATACTAACTCTTGCAGTTTATACCCGAAGAGGTCATTGTTAATTGTCTCGAGCTTTTAGAAGGCACGGAATCGCTGGATGTCATCCTCTGTGTGTGTTCGAAAGCAAAGAAATAGTGAAGTGACAAAAATAACAGAAGCGCACAGACCTTCTCTACAAACTCGCGTGAGCTTAGATAGATTTTGTTTCGAGAAGTGAACGTTTTGATATTGATACTGCTGGAACCGAGAGTACAGTTCTGATACTAGCGCACTTTCCCCCTTTCGTACGGCCGATCAAGTCGCAGCTTGCAAACAAAATCACCCCCCCCCCCCAAAAAAAAAAAAAAAAAATTAATCTAGGTGTTAGACGACCTGAAGAAACGTTTCCACCTTCTGAAGACTGCCATGCTCTGCGCTTTATAAGTGCTAGTGATAACGTGATTTCGGTAATGCTCATATTATAAAAAAAAAACTGAACAAATTTTGTTAGCGTGTATATTCCCGCTTTTTTCTTTCGCGAAAAAAAACGAAAATGTGGAGAATTACAATCATTCCTTTACTTAAAACACTAATGCTATTACTTTACAAATATGTTGTAACATATGTAAATAATCCCTTACAAAATAACTGATAAAAGTAATAAAGTAAAAGTAAATTCGTTACTTGTGACGGAATACTTACATGATTAATTACAGGGCTGACATGCACAAACGTAGCACACGCAAACGCGTACATAAATGCACGCTACACAAATCACAGGCCTCCTCGATTGCTCTTCTTACTTTTATACCCGCCTTTCTGAAGGCACGGTTTACCTTAGTCATTATCTGAGAAAGAGGTTTTGGTTTTTATTTATTAAAATTCTGATTTCTTTTACTAATTTATTTTCTCGGCATGAACTGTGAATGGTCCAAGGGTTGAAAATATTGATAGACATAACATTCCCGCTCTAATTATTGGCGACGGCGGATAAATCTCCCTGCTCCTCTGTGCTTTACAGCACATGTCACAGCCCCTCTGCAAATGCTCGTGGACAATTTTATGTTGCATTGAAAGCAAAGCTACAGAGCAGAATGACCCCCTTTTACTACGCAGCTGAATATAGCTCAACGAAAATATGTTGGGCGTAACTTAACGCAAAAAAGTACATATAAAATTTTCGTTTTAGTCCTAGTTCTAAAATGTAACCATAACACTAGTCAGGATGAGCCAAACGCGTAGCATCTGTTTTGTAGCCCTTTCGGGCTTTCTTGGCTTAAGTTCAGCGGAGGTCTTCTAGTTCCGTGCAAGACAAACATGGCGTCTTTTTCGTGTGTTTCGTGTACCATCGATGTTGCGTATCGTCGGTACCTTCTGTAAGCTCACCCTTTGTTCACCCCATAGGATTTTCACAATGGTTGAAAACCTAAAGTCCTCACAACAAACCAAGAAGGTGATGTGCAACGTGTACGCATAAGTGATTCAGTGGGGGAACAGGAACCCTTCATTATATCCATATGCGCAGATGAGCAGGAGTGGGTATTGAGCCTGGGATCGCTGGGTTCTGCTGGGCAAGCTTTCGCTATACGCGTTCCGAGCTGAGGTGCGCAGACGCCTCCCTTGCGGGCCTAGAGGTAACTTATCGCGATCCAAATAGAATTCGCGCCGTAGCGTGTGCATGCTCATATTTTGATATATCGCTTCATCGCTCTGATTTTTCAGCAACACAAGAGTTTGCCCATTCATGACGTTAAAGCAGTGCAGCGCTGATGAAATTCCCGATATATCTTAAATTGTTGTCGCATATTTGTGTTGGTCGCAAGAAAAAGTAAATTCGAGGTGAATTTACACGGCGTAATTTACATTGTTTTACAATTTTAGCGCTTCAGTCAAAGCGTTGATTTTTATTTAAAATACAAATGAAACGTTGGGAAAGGTTCGCCAATCTGCTTTCATACTCGGCAATCGCGACTCAGCAACCTCAGCCGCATACTCAAACGGAATGAGGGACAGTAGCAAATGCGTGTCAGTCACGCCGAAACCCGAATTGAAACCAAAACCAAGAAAGTCTTGCATAGTTGGGAAATTATACAAACGTCCGTTCTTCCCACGTCACCCTGATATCTTTCTCGTCGTTTCCACAGAGAGACGTTTACCAGTTTAGTCCATCATATTTGTGACGTTTTAGAATTGAAGAATTCTCGTGCGCGGCTTCGATCTGCGTTCAAGTTGCTCGAGCAACCGCGTGCTTTAAAGAAAAACAGTTTTGCGGATGCCCCATTGTGCGACCCGGACGACCCCTATCAGCCAGAAATTTCTGTCACCCTTCTAAACTGTGAAAACCTGGTGAGCGCGACTCCCAACCTGTAATGTGCATTGGGAGTTTGCCGATTGAAAGTTTTGACGTATTTGTCTGTTAAGGATTTTTACCCGTTTTGTATTATCTTCCGCTTTGAGAATCATTAAATACCAGGTCTCGTAGCCCGCTCGGATTTGGCGGCTAACCAACGACGAAAGCGTGCGTGAAGCAGTACGCTAAGCGGGTCGTTCGATGTTCTCGCATTTCTGGCTATGTTCCCGCTTTTCTCGAAAACTAGCTGTTGGGCCCAGCGCAAAGGACGGAACAAACATTTCCGGTCTTTATTGCTTTAATGCCGAAACAAAAACATATTTTTTCAAAACAATCTCTAAAATTAGCCGGACTACGTCCGATTGTCGTGAAGTGAAAGTTGTCAAAATGTATATTGTATACTGTCACGAAGGAACAGGCGATGAAACAAAAAAATATGATGGCGCACTGTACCACCCGTTAGTATAGGGTAACTGGTATAGTCAGAATCATCCATCTAAGGCAGACAGCGTTGTGGCAGATGTGGTGGCAGGCTGCCATAAAAATAGCCGTTTGTCATATTTCGTGCTTGGTTGAAATTGCTTAACGAAACATATTGTTGAAACCCGGCGTGAACAGCAGCCGGATTTTGTGGACCTGGCGAAAGCTTCACGAAATCACGGCACCGGGGAAGAGCAGCATAGATCGGTACGAAAGCGGCTTTGGACGATGGTGGGGCGCACACACGCTTTTGCGCATCTCCGGCCCCTCTTATGTCTTGTGGCAATAGTGCTGCTTCGGCAAAGGGGCCCCCCATCTTCAATAGGCCGTTAATAATTCACTTCGTTTAATTTAATTTTGCTTAGAAAGTCACAGGTGAATATATGGTGTAAAAATATATAAATCACTCACAGGCAAATTGGCACGCAAGTTTGTGGAGAGATCGATTATATACACTCGCGACACTTCCCCGAATGATCGCGAGCACATCCACGGCGTCTCTTGATTCGTATCTAAGCGTTCGGAATCATAAAGGCTGAACTCCATGGGACGAATATGCTGCGAATAACCAACGAATTTTGGCCGACGGCTTTTGTTCTGCGGGTGGAATCAACACAGTTGCTGCTACGTCGCGCGCAAAACGGGCGTGCCGTCGGGCGGCGTTCGCCAGTTATTCGCCACATAATTCTTTGCATGGAGTTCAGCCTTAAGACTTCACAACCAACGAAATCACACCACCACCTGCCAACAATGTTGATCCACGGAGGGGCCCATTCCCGGTAAGACGTCTGATTTCTTGCTAGCCCCGCTGCTTTCCCCCGGTACTGCGCTTTCGTAAAACTTTCGCTGGGTTTCAATAATCTGCTTCGTCGAAGAACTTCAGTCAATCACGAAATATCAACCACGGTATAGTGTACTAGACCCACGGATATTTCTGTGGCACCCTGCTGCCAGAACGCTGTCCGCCAAATTACTATAATGTCTAGACAGAATAGAACTCTTCCAAAAAGATGACCGAGCGTGGTTGCATTCCCGTCCATAGGCGGAGCTGGTTAAACGCCATCTAGCAAATAGACATAGATATCAGTGGGTCGCGGAAGAGCCGTGTATAGATGGAGTTCGGTCAATAGGAGGCGCGGGCAGAGCCAGGGCACGCTCCAGACTCGGAAGAGGGCTTGGCATGCTCTCTTGACCAACCCGAAACGGAAAAGAATCCTCTTGCGGTGGTACCGAGAAACAGTTCTGATCCAAAGGAATATGTTCGTAAATGGTTTTATTAAGCGCGTAAAAGTGAAGTGTAGTAACTCTTCGTGGTTGAAAATAGGGTGCGCGTGATGTTTCGATCATGATCATGCAGAAAGATGTAAGAAACGAATCCGCCGCTCAATTCTGTTTTGCTTGGACAGAGTGTGACCGCTCGGACGGCAGATTCCCGGCCCTCGGCGCTTGGCGTAAGGATTATGTCAATCGTTCCGCTAGTCGCACTCTTCCACCATCATTTTGGATGAGCGTGATTGAAACATCACGTGCACCCTATTTTCAGTCACCGAGAGTTACTCCGATGCACTCATCAGGTTCGTTTCTCGCGACCACCGCCAGGGTAATATTTCCGGCTTCTGCTTGGTCACATTCGAATTTCTGAAGACGGCCTGGAACACGCTTAGCCCGCTTACGGCCAATGGCGCCCCTCATTTGTTTCCTATACTTTCAAACGGATGGCCAAACTCTCTATATATACGGCTCTGAGTCGCGGTGATTCAGGCACAGATGATAGTGGTGGCGTTGATAGGCTCCCTGCCATCTGCTCGGGAGGGGCGAGTCCTGACGTCAGCGCTAGTGCGGACTTAAGCCAGATGTCAAGAGCTTCTTATAAAAAAACAGAGGCCCAGTCGCGAGAGGCTTTTTAGTATCTACATAACCGTACGTAACTGGAGCCAGAGGCTTCTCTCATTCATCGATAGCTTAGATATAAGAAATAACCTGGTTTAAACGCTCAACAACGAACGCGGCGTGTTTTCGTCTTGTAGGTAGGAAATATGAGCCCACGCCAACTCGGTTTCATGCTTCTTGTCAGCACGTTTTTCGGTAAGTAAACATTCCCTTTCACGATCGATGAGCAAAACACTCTAATTCCTCAAAAATATAAACGGAATCTAGGAGTGAGAAAAAATAAAAAGCTTACCCAGGTACCTTAATGCTTAAAATTTGAGCAAAATGTACCTAGAATAATTTTAGAATGGTTAGACCTCCGCCATACTCTGAAAGATTCCGAATGTTCCGCCAGTCATTCAAAGATCTCTTTCGATAAGCCACTAGCTAATATCTACATAATGGAAAGTACAATCCCTATCCGCTAATCTCTACGTCGCAAGACTGAAAATATTACCTTTTGCTAGATTCTACATTTAGCGCCAACCCAGCCAACGCTACGACCCGATGGAGCCAGGCGTGCACCGCCCAATGTGCATGGTCATGGCTCTCGTCGTTTTTGTGCGTTTGAAATTACCGGCTGGACCAAATCACGCAAGAATGTAAGCGTTGGACGCGACCCATCACCGTGCGTGATTTATTTAGACGGTGAAGATGAAAGCGCTGGGTTACGGAATGAGAAATTGGCTTCGAGCAGAACGGATGTTCTGGAAGACAAGGTTCGCGGCAAGTGTGCTGTATTGAAAAAAAAAAGAAAATCAAAGAAACAAACATTGCGCGTAGTTTTAGCACAAAGCTACTATTAAAGCGAAAAGGTCTAAAGGTTGATCCTTTCATATTTGTGCATGCACTTTGACATTTGAGTTCGCAACAAACTCCCGTGTTGTTCAATAAATTGTTTACGCTAAAACCTGAAGTTGGCTACCTAGCAAATGCTTAGCTGCGAAATTACAGGATACACAGTGCTCGACCTGCAGTGCAGAGTGAAAGAAAATGCACAGAAATTAAAAAAAGAAAATGCTTTCGACATTCATATACCCCCAAACGCAGAAAGACATCATTCTAAACGTATCTGTGTTATGAGTTTCCCCTTCTTCGCTTTAATTGGTATATTCTGCAAGTTGCTCATGAAGTGAATCTGCTGTTTGAGTATTAGTTGCAAGCGTAAATAATTGAGTGTTGAAAATCTGAGATCAAGTTCTCGGATAACCGTTACCGTTAATTTTAATGCAAAGTTCCTTGTCGTATACAGATTGCGTTGAACAGAAGGACTGAATTGGTATAGAGACGGAAAATTAGTGTGGAATGTCAAAAAGTGGTTTGCTCTGTACGTTTAAACAGCCTTGATGGAGATACGCCACGCCGGATAATCGGTCTCTTAGCTGTAGATGAGAAATTAAGCCAGTGCAGTACAACCACTAACCTGGGGTTTTTAACGTGCATCACGCAGTAGTGATATCACGAACGCGTGCCAGTACGAAACTCATCCAGATGTATGGTCGAGCCCAGGAGGTTCCCAGCGCAAGTTTTCGCTCCACGCTCCGAGCTGAGACGCGTTAGCCCACTCGGCCACTTCCTCCCCCCGAGGAATCTGGGATATGAAGAAATATATTTGTAATGTTTTCCTCATCAATACAGTTAGGCGCTAATATCCTGGAAGGTTATGCAGTGTTATTATTTGAATCATTAAGCAATCTTAAATTCAAGGACATTGGGCAAACCTGTTTTATGTTTTAAGTGGGACCAGGTATTGATTCAAATTCTAAACCAATTAGTCGTGATCATTTTATCGTTGATTATTTGATTACGCTGTTGCGTTGACGTCTATGCATCTGTCTAAAAAAGTATAAAAACTAATTTCTACGAAATTACTATGACAGGGAAGGCGAGCTTGTGTATATTCACCACTGTCCTAGCAAGACTTCCTAAAAAAATCAGTCACTCGGTAGTGTCATACTCGACTCTTGAGTTGTAGCCAGGCTGCCAGGAAAGTATCCCTATTAAAAAAGTTTTTTTTTACTTGAATTTCACTGCCAGTAACAAATGTTTTTACTGATTAAGGGACTCTCTTCCCTACCCGTGATGCCGGAATTTACCGGAAGTCCCCGAATGTTTTGCCGGCATTTTGTTTCCACGAAAGAAATCTATTTTACTGAATTAAGGGTCTCTTTTTACTCCCGGTAAAGCGGGAACTTAGCGGAATTCACCGAATTTTCCCGAATTCACAGAATTTATCTGAAATCACCCGATTTTCCGGAATTCATGGGAGCGGACTGTGTTTTTCTTTTTTTTTTTGCCCGTCAACGGAAGGCATTTAGGAAGAAACATGTGAACCATGGGTGGTGTATGTTTACCAGGAGCTGGACGATTTGGTAATCATTAGAATGGTTAGTTTATATAGATCTGAATGTTCCATGCCTTTATTTCACAGGGTCGGTAGCAGTGAAAAAATGTGCACAGCTGTAGACAAAAGAAATCAGAACAAATAGAAACAACCGAGTTATTGTCGCGAAAAAAATATATTTAATGTATTCACAATGCAGCTGGGTAAACTTCTAGATGTATACGGTGGTTCAACTAATAAAACCGAGCAGGCGAACCACACCGACGCACACGCACACACTCTCAGTAGCACGTTTAGCAAAAACCACTAACGCGCAACCAACATCCGCCGCCGTTGAGAAATCATGGGCACAGTCTTGCGTTGTCACGCATGAGCGCAGCAGGAACGCGCGATTGCTGATAGCCGCCGCCCCAAAAGCGATATCTTCGGCATCGCACTTTTTCTTTCTTTTCTTCTTGGCAGCAGCCGATAAAAGTCGGTCGCGCCGCCGCCGGTATTGTTCTCTGGTTTTCGTGTTCGACAAGCTTGCCTGGATTAAGAAGTCCGTCTGCCCTGCTCCCGGTGTCGTCTTCTCGCCGTGGTCTGGAGTCCTGCTCGGCCAAGCGCAACAACAGTCACGGCGCCGTCCCTGATGCTGACACAATGGCATCTCGGGCGTCTTTTTCCCTCGCTGGATGCATCTGAAGTCGGAGCGACGAAGAGGCGCAAATAAAAGCCACAGGAAGGTTTTGTTTATCCGGACGCCCGGCTTATCTGGATGATACAGGTCGCGCGCATGGTACGGGAAGCCGACACTAAACGTTCGTTCCTTGCCGTTGCTCGTTGAAAGACAAAGAAACCGGTTTTCTTCAAAATAGACAGCAAAAAGTCCCCCTCACATTTTTTTCACGCACCCAATGGAAGGGAGAGATGGCGCATGGAGAAACCAATGACAGCCGGTGAAACTTCCAGAAAAGCCGGTTCGTCTGGTAAAGGAAACTGGCTGCCGGTAAAATTCCAGCAAAATCTGGTAACCGATAGTAGCTGCCGTCAATTCTTACATTAAATACTGGTAAACTGAGCTGGCTTCAGATAAAAACGGGTGAAACATGACCAGTTTTCACTGGATCTCACTGGAAGCTCTCGCTGAATTTTTCAATAGGGATGGGACGCGGCCCGCCGTACTCATAGTCCTCGCTAACTATAGGCATGTCGATACTGCGCCTGTAGCTTTGTGCTTCAACGAAGGCTGTCACGAGGGTGAATAGGCGCAATAGGAAGCGAGCAAGCCGGCCGCGTCGCCTATTGTTCGCCGCGACCTATCGGTAGCCGCCGCAGGAGCATCGGGGACCAACGGCGACGAACAGCACGGCGGGCAGTGTTTCCGTCGTGGTTACGAAGAAATTTAAGGCAGTTACGAATTCAGAAAGTTCCTTCGGTAGCCAGTGCCGTCGGAGCAGAATCATCGGGAAGTAATAGCAACGAACATCACAGAGGACAGTGGGTGATTACAAATCCGGGAAACTTCTTCGGTAGCCGGTGCAGAATCATCAGGGGGAAGCAATGGCGATGAGCAGCACAGCGGACAGTGTTCCCGGGGTGATTACGACCAAGTTGAAGGCGGTTACGAATCCAGAAGGTTTCTTCCGTGGTAATATTATAAAAAAAGGAAAACTCCTTCGTGAATCTGGCCGCGTGTACGACGTGAAGGAGGTCTGTTTCGACGGACAAGTGGATGTCACGGAGCGCCGTACTCCGCTAACAAAATTAAGCGCGTCCGCAAAAATTGTAGTTGGCGTTGAGTGGACTGTGGTAATTACATACGCTTATTTCTGAATCAGCTTGACAATAACTGGGCGATTTATTTCGCGCCGTTCCGCGATTCCCACCGTAGGCTGATGGAAACATCCAAGGGTAGGCTTAGGTGGGCGACCGCATTCCGCTTCTCGATTCCAGTCAAGTATTTGCTGCATACTTTAGAGTTTGGCGTCGGTGTCGATGCTGTTCCAACGTCGCTAGAATATAAAAAAGTTAATTGTATTATTCGTGAGCAGCTTAAACAAAGCGCGAACGGGAAAGTAAGAAACGCCACTAACCTGTATGGACGCACAAGTCGCACCCAGATCGCGGAGTACTCCGCCTCGTATGACTTCGAAGGAACGATGTAGTACTACGTGCCGTGCGCGATCTTTAACGTACTGTTGCAGCCGGCCACGCAGCAAATGCTGCGGCTTTCTTGGTGCGGAATAGTCATCTCAGAAATTACAGCGCTAAACCCGCTAGAACGCACAACCAACGCAGCGACTGGCAGAAGCTCCCCGATGCAATGGACTCGTTTGCCGCTAGGGGCGCCCTGGTCGGGGCTTGAATTGGATGCGCACGGTTCCCAAGGTATATGTATAGATGGTAGCGAAGCTTCCATAGAAGCCCATAGGCGCAAAAATGGCGGCTCATGGGGCGCAGCGCCATCTGTGAGACGCGCGGCAATGTCATTAGTCACGCTCGCCTGTGGCGTGCAGGAAGTGACGCTTTATAAAAATTAAACACAAAATGATGCAGTTTTCTTATGATTGTGACGTCACAATTGTTTTTGGCGCGAAATTTAAATGATTTTCGCCGGTGGCGCGAAATTGGAATGCTTTTTTTAATGTTCTACATGCATGCGCAAGTACCGTCCTTTATACCTTGCTTTACGCTCATAGCCTTGTTTGTATCAATCACTCCCATGCAATCTCTCTTGCAAAAGAACCAGTTTTTATCAGTTCTGAGAACCACCAATAAGTTACTATCCTTTTTCAACTAAGCAGGGTGTTACGCCATGGCTATGGTGTAA